CAAATGAGCATTGTGTATCTAATAAACGAGGAGCATGTTTATGGAACGGGCTCCCTAAGGGCATGGCTGCACTTCAGTTGGGACTTAGAGGAAAATGTGAGACAGACGGATTCACACTAGCTTTGCTTTAGCTCGTATGCTTTAAAAAAAAAATCGCTGTGGATAAGGTAGTGCTGGAAGTGCTTGAACTAAGTGTGAGCCCAAGTCTGGCTGACCCCCCTTGTCCAAGTCACCACCACTGCTAGAATGTTCACCCTGCTATTTTTAGCATTCTAACTGAAGCAGAGTTAGTGCAAGTCTGCGTACTCACATTGGTAATCACACCTCCGAACTGCTGTGTAGACACACCCTGGCAGACTGCCATGTACATAACTGGGGATCAACAGGTTCCTAAGAGAAGGGGAAGGGGAAGCAGCCGCTCTGGGCACAAGCCCCCTTGCAACATCAGTAGGAATAAAGGACGATTGGCATTTCCTCCTTTCTGTCTTTTGCTCCCTCACTCCCAAGAGCAGAAAATTATACACAGCTACTGGAGGCAGCATCAGTGAGTCAGGCTACCATGGGAGGGCATCAAGGAGCAGCATAAATGGGTGGTCACTTTACACAGATACCCTGCAATTCACTGTGATAAGATTCAGATTGTTTTCCTCACCAAAGAACTGCAGACTGCACATAGTTGCTAGACTACAAACGTTGTGAAGGGACCATACAGTGGAAACCCTGCATGGTTCCTGACTAATTCTTCCCACCCATTGGATTTTCTAAGGACAGGGGTACATTAATTACCTACTTCCTTGCTTACCATTCCCTTTCTAGTCTGTTTGATCTCAGTGTCACTTTCAAGATGGCACTGAATCCAGCAGCACTCCCTTTGAAGTCAATGGGAGGTTTACCTTTGCAGACAGAGTAGCATCAACTCAAGTACAGACCCTTTCAAAATACAATACCAATTTGTTGTTAAAGTCCGTTTCACAGGGCAACACCACTGCTCTGATTACAATTTTCCGCAACTTGTACTCATAAGAATAGCCCTGATGCAGCCAAGTTCAGACCCTCAAGGGACTGTATGTTTATGAATATTTATAAAGTTTCCAAACATTTGTTCCATCTTTCCCATAATCTCAACATTTAGTTTATTCACTATCAGAATCTTCTTTATTGCCCTAGTCATAAAATTTTATCCTTGGCTCTGAGTATGAGCCATTCCATTATTCCGTTATCGAGCAAGCAACACTTTAAGCCAGGAACAATACTCAGTGCCAGCTCACAGCATTAAGTTCATTCACCAGGTCATCTGCCTGTTTCATACATTCTCTCATTGCAGTGATAGAATGTAAAGTTTCTTATTTTTAGAAAGTCATACACTGTAATGATGAAGCAAAAGCAAAAAAGCCCTACATAACCTTTCCCCAGCAAAACAACTTTTTAAAATATTAGGACATGGATGGAAAAACTTGAAAAAAATCTCCAGAGCTCAACTTTAAAAAGAGAGGAATTCATTTAACAACAGAATAACCTCAAATAAAAATAAATTATGTCTTGCATCTAAAGATCTCAAAGTGCTTTCCAAACATTCATTAGTAGGACTATGGACATTTGGGAGAATAGCCAGAGAATTGTTCACTCATCTTCATTACACCTCATAATAAGTCATCAACTCAAAGCAAAGTAACTGCCTTTAACAGTGCAGCATACAGCCATCTGAGAAGGGATGTACAGTAGTTGTTTTATTTGGGGGGTACAGGATGGAACAGGAATGGTTGTTCTGAAAGGGAGCTGGTGGTGGATGAAAGGTAGTGAGCCCTCCTAAATGCCATGATTCATTTTGACTAATACTTGTTAACATGGGAGTTGATTAGGTGCTAGGGAGTTTTTTTGCTGATATTGCTTCCAAGTGAATATCCCCAGTACAAAAAAGTTAGAGGGCTAAATTGGAAATAACCTTTAACTCATAAGGAGAACTCTATCTTGACAACAGACTAATTAGATCTTAACACTCTACAATGGACCTTTACAGAAGCAAAAGTACTTACAGGAATAACATGAGTATTTGTTTGCCTAGGAAAGCAGGAAATGTGAGTTGGGAGAATATCCAAAAGCAGTAATTCATAGGAAAGAGATAGGTGTTTCCCTAAGATCTGGGGTTTAGCTAATAAAACAGCATGGACTACGCTTTGGCTGCCCCGGAACGGATGCCCTAAGGGTGGGGAAGGAAGACTCACTGAACCTTTTCCTTCCCATACATACCCTTTGTTTGCCTAGGAAAGCAGGAAATGTGAGTTGGGAGAATATCCAAAAGCAGTAATTCATAGGAAAGAGATAGGTGTTTCCCTAAGATCTGGGGTTTAGCTAATAAAACAGCATGGACTACGCTTTGGCTGCCCCGGAACGGATGCCCTAAGGGTGGGGAAGGAAGACTCACTGAACCTTTTCCTTCCCATACATACCC